TCTCAGGGACGCAGGCGACGTGGTGGCTCCAGGGACGAAGGCCCCGACGCCCCCGGTGCCTGTTCTGTGATGAGTAGGATTGGCTCCCCCCCCCCCCCCCGGCGGTCGGAGCGTTGCGCTCGCAGCTGCAGGCGTTGAGTGGTGTATATTAAAGGGGCCCCAGGACACAAATTCGCCTGCCCAACGGGCCAGAGGCGTGCTAAGAACTCCGGCAACTGCTGAACAATCTTTCTAGTTCGCGCGCGCGGGCGGCCCCTGGGGGCCCCTGGACGAAAAGTACCCCGGCTGACCCCCGGCCGGGTCCGGGCCAGGTCCTGGGCGATCCCCAGGGGGGAGGCTATTTTTCGCCTCTCCCCACGAGGATCGTGGCCTCCGAGGGGGTGGCTGCAATCGACTACCCCCCCTCCCGCCCCAAGGGGCCCCCAAGAGCCCCCCAAGAGGCCCCAGGGGAGCCCAAGACGCCGCCAAGGAGCCCCAAGACGCTCCCAAGAAACCCCCAAGAGGACCCCAAGACGGTCCCAAGAGGCCCCAAATAGCGCTCCAGGGCTGGCGGAATGAGCTAAGCGATTAAATAAATACACACAAATAAAAATATTCCCCATATTGTCCCATATGTTCGGTGTTTTTGTCTTCCTTCCCCTTCCCATGTTTTCCTGGGAACCGGCGATTAATTGTGTCTGCGTGTTTTTTCCTTCCCGATATACGGGCACGGAAGGCGCACACGGGCGTGGTGTAGTATATATGAACGTCGCGGTGTTCACAGTCATTCTGGCGCGCGCAGGCGCTGCGGGCTCAAATGCAGGGGGCCGTGTCCAGGGTAAGATTATCCCGGCAAAGCAACCTAACAGCGATGTGTAGGAGCATATCTGGAAGCATTCCCCTTAATATTCAGATAAGAATCCTGTTGTAGAATTCTGCTGTTCTCGCAGTCGTGGTCGCATTCGCGATGGCAGTCGCAGTGGCAACAGCAGTCGCAGTCACAGCCTCAGCCTCAGCCTGCCTCAGCCTCAGCCTCAGCCTGCCTCAGCCTCAGCCTGCCTCAGCCTCGCCCTCAGCCCGCTTCAGCCTCAACATCAGTCTGCCTTCAGCCTCGGCCTCAGCCTGCCTCAGCCTCACCCTCAGCCTGCATCAGCCTCAGCCTGCCTCAGCCTCCCTCAGCCTGCTTCAGCCTCAACATCAGTCTGCCTTCAGCCTCGGCCTCAGCCTGCCTCAGCCTCACCCTGCATCAGCCTCAGCCTCAGCCTCAGCCTGCCTCAGCATCAGCCTGCCTCAGCTTCAGCCTCAGCCTCAGCCTGCCTCAGCCTCAGCCTCAGTCTGCCGTCAGCCTCGGCCTCAGCCTCAGCCTGCCTCAGCCTCAGCCTGCATCAGCCTCAGCCTCAGCCTCAGCCTGCCTCAGCATCAGTCTGCCTCAGCCTCAGCCTCAGCCTCAGCCTGCCTCAGCCTCAGCCTCAGCCTGCTTCAGCCTCAGCCTGAGTTTGCCTGCAGCCTCGGCCTCAGCCTCAGCCTGCCTCAGCCTCAGCCTGCATCAGCCTCAGCCTCAGCCTCAGCCTGCCTCAGCCTCAGCCTGCCTCAGCCTCAGCCTCAGCCTGCCTCAGCCTCAACCTGCATCAGCCTCAGCCTCAGCCTCAGCCTGCCTCAGCCTCAGCCTGCCTCAGCCTCAGCCTCAGCCTGCCTCAGCCTCAACCTGCATCAGCCTCAGCCTCAGCCTCAGCCTGCCTCAGCATCAGCCTGCCTCAGCCTCAGCCTCAGCCTGCCTCAGCCTCAGCCACAGCCTGCTTCAGCCTCAGCCTCCGTCTGCCTTCAGCCTCGGCCTCAGCCTCAGCCTGCCTCAGCCTCAGCCTGCATCAGCCTCAGCCTCAGCCTCAGCCTGCCTCAGCCTCAGCCTGCCTCAGCCTCAGCCTCAGCCTGCCTCAGCCTCAGCCTGCTTCAGCCTCAGCCTCAGCCTGCCTCAGCCTCAGCCTCAGCCTGCTTCAGCCTCAGCCTCAGTCTGCCTTCAGCCTCGGCCTCAGCCTCAGCCTGCCTCAGCCTCAGCCTGCATCAGCATCAGCCTCAGCCTCAGCCTGCCTCAGCATCAGCCTGCCTCAGCCTCAGCCTCAGCCTGCCTCAGCCTCAGCCTCAGCCTGCTTCAGCCTCAGCCTCAGTCTGCCTTCAGCCTTGGCCTCAGCCTCAGCCTGCCTCAGCCTCAGCCTCATCAGCCT